GGGGGGGCGGGGGGGTGGGGGAGCGCTAGCGGGTAGGCTCGGCCAGCTTGGAGCGGGAGAACGGCAGGAGAGCCTGCAGACTCACCAGTCTCCGGTCAGTGTCGGCGTCCGACCGCTTGGTCGGGGGCGGCGAGTCTTCAGCGTAGCGTAGCCTCTCGCCGGCGGCGACGACGCCGCCACTAGCAGCCATGGCTATGCGGCGCGGGGCACTCGGAACGCCCCGCTGCCTACGAGGCGGCCGCAGGGACAAACTAGTTAGGGCGGGTCCGTTCGCGGGTTTTACCTATGCCTCTCCCGCTGCGCTAGTGGAGGGCGGGGCCCCAAGGGATCTCGTTCTCACCCAGGCTCAGACCAACTTGTCTCCTCAAGCCAAAGGTCAGATCCTAGCTGCCCTAGGATGTGGAGGAGTTTTTTCTTTGTTTCAGATTTGCAGGCCTAAAGCCAACATTGGGACTCGTTGGGGCAAAGCGTGATGGGGCCTGTCTTCCTTCCCCTATCCCGACCTGAGAGCCTGGGTTTAAGCCCTGCAGTCTGATGTTAGATCTGATGTTGGTCTCATCAGATGCCAGACCAGGAGAGACCCAGAGAGTTTAAGTGCAGTGCCGAAGTTCCCTGACGTTCCCTGAGACCCACACCAGACCTTTCTAAACCTGCCCTCCCACACACACCCTGCCCAACCACTGATCATACTTCATAATACCACGGTTCTCCCATCCATGAGGGCAATAGAAGTGGCAATCTGCTTACTCCACCCCTTCCCGCCATATGACTGGCTATATGTAAGATGAAATTACAAAGAAGAAACTTGTAACCTTCCACCCCACAAATGGTTTTGTACTGACTTGGATATAGAAAGACCCACTTTGTTATTCGTGTTTTTCTTTTTTGTTTATTTTTCAGATTTATTAATTTTTATTAATTTATATATATATAATAATTTATTAATTTATTTCAGATTTATTAATTTTTAAGTAAAGCCTTTTAGAGCAAAAATTAACCAACAAATGAAGCCAATGTAGTGCTTTCCAACTCCTGTACCAACTTGGCAGCTCTTTTGCCTTTTATACCCATTGCAAAAGCAGCTTACAAATCTTTTCTTTTTTTAAATTCCTGATTTAAAAGTTTTGAGGATCTACTAATTTATTGATTTAGTTAATATTATTAGCAAGCCCAAGAAGTTAGGGCCTGGAGGAATTTACAATCCAGTAGGGAAGATAAAACTAATAAGAAGTGATTATAATGTATTGCAGAGCATGAGACTATATGCATCATACAGCAGTATAAAGAGGAAGGGACTAGGATAGAAGAGATCTGAGTTCTGGTGTATGATCCTTCGTTTTCTAGGCTTGTGTTCCTGAATATACCCATTAACTGCTTCAAATCTCTCCTTACCTGTGGAAGGGGAGTAATATTTCTCCAACATTTTGACTCAGGGAAATTGTAAGGATAAAATGAAAAAAGGAAAAAAAAGAATATGGAAGTAATTTGTACAATACACTTAAGAAGAGAGTTACCACCACTATTTGATTGGTGTTTCTGGGAGGGAGCGGACATTTTTAACCAGGGTCATCAGAGGAGGGTTGGTGGAGACTGAGCCATTGAGGTGGTCAGTAACAAATGGGTAAGACTTTTTTACATGAAAGAGGAGGAAAACTGGAAATTTTAGCTGGAAACAAACACACAGAAATGAAAAAGGTGGCGTGTAGAACTGGGTTAAAAAAATAAATGCCAAGACTCTTCAGAAAAATGGCCTTATTACATAAATTAATTTTCATTAGACTGATCCACAAGTATCAAGGACGTTGCCGAACTAAGTAAATAAGTTGGATTGGAACCCACAGGTCATTCATTCACTCATCCATTTATATATTCGATAAATATGTGTTAAGCATCTGTTAGGTATCAGACACTCTACTCGGCACTGAGTCTATAATGCCAAGTAAATAAATAAGATACAGTAAGTCCCCTACATAAAAACCTTCAAGTTGTGAACTTTCAAAATGTGAACGTGCGTTCGCATGTCCAATCACATAAATTAGTTCACGTGTCTGGAGGACACTGTCACATGTGTGCATTCTCTACAAGTGGTTGTGCTTTTATGTACTTTACTGTACAGTACTGTATAGAGTACAGTAGTACAGTACCTTTATTTTAAGTGCAGGATGTCCAGAAGCAAACGTAAAAACAGCGATGTTGTAGCTGGTACTGCTAAGAAGTACAAAGGGATAACAGTGGAAACAAAAGTGAAAATAGTTGAGAGAGTGGAGTGAGGCGAAAAGATGGCGGACGTGGTTCATTCTTATAACACGAATCGTTCAACCACCGGCACGATTCTAAAGAACAAGAACAAGATCACGGACTGTGTGAAGGCTGCCGTGCCGATGATGTCAACAATAGTATAGAAGAAGCGTGGAAAAGTGATGGAGGAATTTCGCGCCAAGCTGGCGGGTAATCCCCGCGTCAGTGCGACACGGTAGCTCGAAAGTGTTTTCTGCCGCTGTTGTGGTTCGTCCACTAAACTGCATGTGTACATGGGCAGAACATGGGCATCGGCAAGAACAGGGACCTGTCCTGGCCCCTGGTGGGTAATCCCCATCTGGTGTGACTTGCTAGCTCGGAAGTATTTTCTGCTGCTGTCGTGGTTCGTCCGCTAAACTGCGTTGTTGCTGGGTCCCAGAACACGGGCAAAGGCAAGAACGGGGATCTGCCCTGGCCCCGGCTCAGGAAAGCCTACAGGTATTTCCAAAGAATGACCACAACCTCTTCAGTAGAAGGTAAACAGAATTTGGTGATTATGAGTAGGAAAACCTGGTTCGCCATTCATTCCAGAGAAGAATCGACCTTTCAGGGACAGAATTAATACAGTTCTCGTTAGAGAACCCAAGGAGCCTCCACAGGGAGCTCATTTTCTTGCCAAAAGTCTGGATGACGCCTTCAAACTTATTGAGCAACCAGAATTAACAAATAAAGTGGACATGGTATGGATAGTGGCAGGCAGTTCTGTTTATAAGGAAGCCACGAACAAGCCAGGCCATCTTAGACTATTTGTGACAAGAATCATGCAGGAATTTGAAAGTGACACATTTTTTCCAAAAATTGATTTGGAAAAATATAAACTTATCCCAGAATATCCAGGTGTTCTTTCTGATGTCCAGGAGGAGAAAGGCATTAAGTACATATTTGAAGTATGTGAAAAGAACAATTAATGTGAAAGTGTTTTCTGATCTATTTCAAGCCTCCTCCTACCCCCGCCCCCCCCAAAATTATGTATTTTTTGTTATAGAGACTTTTGTTGATTTTAGATCCATAGATAATTATTTCTAAGCAAAGTACTTTTATTCCCCATTAATCTTAACTAGACTCTATCAGATACCATTTGTGAAACATTTCTTGCTGTAACTGCCTGAATACCTATCAGGAGTCAAGAATAGGTGACCAGCACCTGCCTAGGGCAGAATATCTTCCAAGACAGCCCAAAGTGGGAGACTCCCCTGGTAGCATGAGTTGAAACAACCAGAGCCCATAGAGCTAGGAGCTAGGCAGATGGGTCCAAAGATCAGAAACGGATTATAAACAGAAGCGCTAGCATTCAATTATTAAAATTAGATCAAAAGAGGGACTGTGAATTACTTTATATCACACTTCTGAAAAAAATTCTGTTCACTCAGACCAGGAGTCAATAAGTTGAAAACTCCAGGATATAGCAGCTCATGCAGCTCAATATCAAAAAACAAACAACCCAATCCAAAAATGGGCAGAAGACCTAAAGAGACATTTTTCCAAAGAAGATATACAGATTGCCAACATGAAAGGATGCTCAACATCACTAATCATTAGAAAAAAGCAAATCAAAACTGCAGTGAGATATCATCTCACACCAGTCAGAATGGCCATCATCAAAAAATCTAGAAACAATAAATGCTGGAGAGGGTGTGGAGAAAAGGGAACCCCCTTGCACTGTTGGTGGGAATGTAAATTGATACAGCCATTATGGAGAACAGTATGGAGGTTCCTTAAAAAACTAAAAATAGAGCTACCATATGACCCAGCAATCCCACTACTGGGCATATACCCTGAGAAAACCATAATCCAAAGAGTCATGTACCGCAATGTTCATTGAAACTCTATTTACAATAGCCAGGACATGGAAGCAATCTAAGTGTCCATCGACAGATGAATGGATAAAGAAAATGTGGCACATTTATACAGTGGAATATTACTCAGCTATAAAAGGAAACGAAATTGAGATATTTTTAGTGAGGTGGATGGACCTAGAGACTGTCATACAGAGTGAAGTAAGTCAGAAAGAGAAAAATAAATACCGTATGCTAACACATATACATGGAATCTAAAAAAAAAAAAAAAAGGTTCTGAAGAACCTAGGGGCAGGACAGGAATAAAGACGCAGCCATAGAGAAGGGACTTGAGGACACAGGGAGGGGGAAGGGTAAGCTGGGATGAAGTGAGAGAGTGGCATGGACTTATATACACTACCAAATGTAAAATAGATAGCTAGTGGGAAGCAGCCGCATAGTACAGGGAGATCAGCTCGGTGCTTTGTGACCACCTGGAGGGGTGGGATAGAGAGGGTGGGAGGGAGACGCAAGAGGGAGGAGATATGGGGCTATATGTATACGTATAGCTGATTCACTTTGTTATAAAGCAGAAACTAACACACCATTGTAAAGCAATTATACTCCAATAAACATGTTAATAAATAAATAAATAATAAATAAATAAATAAAGGGGGGGGACTCCAGGATATTCCACAGGGATAGTAAAGGGGCAGGTACGAGACTACCATTTCGGTGGTTAAAGAAGAAGGTTTGAGACCTTAAAAAACTTTGTTTCTGATCTTCAGTGAGATTGCATGGGATGTTACAATGATAGAACAAGAATTGGCTGCTCTTTACAAAAGAGAATAATCTAATATCGAGCATAATGGCT